CAGGTAAAGGATCATCAAGTAATTTATCAATTAACAGCAGATATTATCACGATGACCTAGATAAGAAAACAAGAGAAATCTAATCAATAAAAGATTCTATTTTACATTGCTATTTGCTTTACTTATCTTACGAGAAATATATACCATTCAACTATTATTTTTATCAATGTAATAATAAAATAAAATTATCCCTGATATATACGAATCAAATTGTAAAAAATTACGATAATCTATAACATAACTCTTTAAATTTAAAATAATTATTACAAATAATTAATTTTGTAAATTGCAGTTAATATAATATGAAAAACTTTATAGGTACAATGATCGACACAGATTACGCCGGTGATGAAAATCATGACGGAGCAAGCGAATACTCACACTATACCGGAAGCGATGATGGGGATCATTATGGTAACCATTACACGGAGAAAGAACCGGAATCTTACAGCGAAAAATATTCTTCTGGAGATGGTGATGAGGGATCTTACGAAATGCATAGTTCTTACAGTTCTGATGGGGAAGAAGGGGAGGGAGATCATTATTAATTTTATCACTATAATCATTTTGATGGTCTATCCAAATTGGAGCATTTCTTTTTAAATTTAAACCGTAATTATGGCAAATTAGTATTATGGCAATTAGTGTTTTGTTTGTATATAAAATATAATATAAATCATGAAAAATAACAGTATATGTGTATGTGCATATATGCACATAAATATTATTTTAAACAAAACAATATATAGCTTGCGCGTATATATTATATAATATACATATATACAAACACACATACACATTTTCTTTTACGTTACAACCAGATAATACTTCCTTTACACAGATAAATTTATAATATAGATCAATCGTAATAATAATTTATGGTTAATAGCTAATAAAGTGTCATTGTCGATTGTATGTTAATTTGGTTGTTAACTTTGATCTTTCCATGATATCTGTATAATTGTAATAAGCGGTGTTTATTCATAAGTGACGTAATTATTTCTACTCAAATGATCTTTCAATTACTTTAATTAAAAGATGCGAAAATCCTTTGCATTAATGCGTTGCTTTAAAATAATATAAAATGAGATATACGCCGCCGGCCAAATCGAATGCTGTAGTAATATTATAACAGGGTTTCCGTTATGAAATTTGCCTTTACGCTTTCGCGCTTGGATCGCGAAAGTACGAGCGTACGCTCGAAATTACCGCCCGCAAAACTTGTTACATTAGCAATGTCCGTGCATGATCGATTATCAACAGCTAATCCATTTTGGGATACATTTCGCGTTGCAAATAGTTCGTTCTCACGGTATAAATGGATACGTATCTGTTATTATATGTGAAACGTTAATCCACATTAAGTGGTTCATTTCTTCAACAAAAGCGCATCTCAGTGTATGTGCAATTAAAGATGCATACGAACGAAGAGAGTACGCTTGTTCTGCGAAGAATAAATGTCACTGATTTAATTAGACACCGAAGAATGGAAATATGATGGAAGAAAAAGACGAGAACTTTTCTTTCTCGTAAAAGAGAGATAAAGTTATAACTTAATACCACAGTAGCCGACACGCCGTTTATTTTTCAAAAGTTAACGTGATTTAGATTTTATCTGCGTACAACATTCACCTAGAATCAAATATTTAATTCGAATAAATTACACTCTATAAGCAACATTTATTACAAAAACTAGCTATTAATGAAATTGTCGTTTAATTTCTTGGCCATGAATGTACGAGTGTAGTTTGGTTTGTTTCGAAGAATAGTTCTAATTTCTAATTTAACATCACCCGAGGGTCAGAAGCAATAATTTGCTTTCCGTCTTTGTATCAGAACTACGCTTTGAATTACGTTCGCTTCGCGATTGTATAATTCGTTCAAAATGCAAATAGGTTTTCAAATCTATTCCGCCACCGATTATAGATCCAGTTTAATTACGCGCTTAATGGCGAAGGCTTGCTAGATTGCAGATATTGCCACTCAGTTGGCATACGATAGACACGGCTAATTGCCGACAGAATATAGTTCTGGTTAACACAGAAGACGAATACGTTAAAAACGTGAGTGTTAAAAACTACTATCCGTCACGCAAGAACCATGTCGCGTTGTATATATATTTTAGATCTGGCGTAGGTGTAAGTGCATAATATCCATCAGTGGCTTGCATTTTGCAATTATTTATAACGAGAAAACTTTTCAGATGGTTGCCCATCCTCGAGCGGAAAATCAGTTTGTTAATTGTGCGAGATAATTATCGTTAAACGCTGCGCGTGACAAAGAATTATTTTGTTTGTCATCGCTTCACTCAACCACTTTCTAGAACCTATGAGCAATCTAATGTATTAAACGCCATTAACAAAAAAAGGACATTTAAATTTGCTGACTTTATAATTACAGTTTTATCAACTGCATCTGTGCTTTTGTGTTTATTTAATTAGAAATTAAGAAGGAAATATATGTATATATTTTTCTCTTAAAATTAATTAAAACGAAAAGATATGTTATCGAGCAAAAATAATCGATTTAATCCATATTTAAAATGTGCTATATGCGGATAATTAATAAATTATTTGATGATTTAATCAATATGTATTATGGTATGCACCGTACTGTTGGTTCATTTTATTTAAACATTTCGCTGCAATACGTTCCCATTATCACGTACAATCAGAAAGAGAATATCGCAATAGCGGATCAGCTGAAAATACCAACTGTTTGCTTGCATAAATGAGTTTTAGAGACGAGCAAGGCGAGGAGAAGCTCAAATTAGAGACTATCACTGTCAGCTCTCTTGCGGCTATCGTCGGAAAAGCTTGTAGCTCGAATGAGGCTCTTGACCGTAGAACAGTAGCTACGTCGGGTGGTCCCTCCGGGTTTAAATTAGAAAACAATTTCATTAGCAGCCCAGAAGCCAGCCACGTGGTCCTTTTGTTCGCGTTGGCGTATAACCCGACGGTTTTATTCAGCATGCGAGAATGCGCCATGGGAGTACGCAGGGAACGAACTGAGAGAAAGCGGGAAGAAAGAAAGGAAGAAGAAAAGATGGTGCGAGGATAAGACTTGAATGTAGGAGATAGTTTGGTCCTCGGATTGGAGGAGGGAAGAGGGAAGGGGTCTAATGGGTTCCATCAACTGATTGCACACCTCACAACTTAGCGACGCGGAATAGACGACGTCTGCGGTATTAGCTACTTCTTTATTAATAAAATCGACCAAAAAATTTTTTTCAATTTTAGTAGTATTACGTCGAACGAGGAAATTCTTAAGAATTCTTTAATTCTTAAAATTCTTTTATATTTTTGCCATTTTTTTCGTTGTTATTATACTTTTACAATTAAAATATTATACCAGGAACATTACTTTTATTTTTGCAATATTAAAACTAATATCAGTAGTTAGTTGAATTATAGCCGAGATGAGCGCGAGATTTAATGGTATGCTTAAATTTCTAATTATGAAAACTATATCTGGGAACTTTTCAAGTCTTAATGGTTGGCTGGTATTACTATTCTCGGGAACGGCGCAAACCGAGCGAGAGTAAAATGTTTGATGAGTCATGAATTACATATGATTTTCTCATAGATAAAGATTTCAATAATATTTTAGATTTTAATTGAACTTTCACCGAGCTCGTTGACCAAACAAAGAAGCGAGCGATCCGAATGGGCCGATGTCGCCTCAGATCTGCTTACAAAGCAATCTTTCCATCTGAATCGAGATCTACGACGAATACCACCTAATCTAATCTCCGTTACGACGTCGAGTCAAAATCGAACTTGGCAGAATCCCTCGTCTTCCCTCTGTCTGAGGGATTTTCGTGGAACTAGGCAGTAACCAATCTTTATCTTGATTATGCAGCGCCAACACCAGCGAAAGCCAATCGAAAGTGGTTGCCAAGTAAGATCGTAAAGAGTCCGAATCTATCGAGCAGTATTTCAGACTGCAAAATGAGCCGATACTTTAGATCTGCAATAGAAATCAACATCGACAATCATTGTATATCATTATTTTTTACTTCCTTTATTTATTTATTATTGCATATGATCATCATTATCGCTTTTTTATTTGGTTCTGACATTCAACACGTTAAAATATTGTCGACATCGAATTATCATCTGTACATTTAAAGATTATAATTTTTATTTCGATAAAGAGCACTTATAAAAATTTTCTTCGTGATTTTATTGAATAGCGTCACATATTGAGTTTCGTCTTTCCATCGGCATCAGAATCGGTGGAAGATTAAGACCACGGAGGCCATTACTTTCTCGGTTTTCGATGGTTTTTCGAGATGATCTAATAAAACCGTCAGGGATACCGGAACAAATGGGTCAACAGTTAGCGAAACGACCCGCGCAACGAGCGCCGCGCGTGATATACGCGTCGCCGACGTCTGTAAAACTCAATAAATTGTTTTTGGCTTATGACGTTATAAATGGCACTGTGTTTACGAGAGGCGAATTTATGTCGCAGGTAATAGAATTAATGGTAAAATTAGACAGTTTATCGATGAGCCAGCAAGCGCGATGACGCGCGTGCTGTGACAACAAAACACTTCTAGGGCATTCAGCACGACATATGCATATCCTATATCCTATATTTGTACGTCATGACGTTAATTAAAATGATTGCGCGAGCATCTGGTAGGGTACTTAACTTCAAATATCGATTGAGGTCACGCCGTTACGCGAGGTGTTGATCGGTCGCGTGCATGTGTCGGACAACAGGACGCCATTTTGATTCAAAATAGATATTTTGGCTATGGCTATAACTGGGTTTTCACATTTATATATTTTCATGTTTTATATATTAGTTAATCGGTATTGATGAAAAAAGTAAAAAAAAGAACGGTCAATCGTATTTTATATCATCATCGATATTTGATTATTTAGCAAATCCCGAAATAAAATATAAAATAAATTCTTTTTTGAAAAAAACAAGTAAAAATATAAATACAATTATTATATTCCAATTAATCACGTCAAGGTGTGTATAAATGTTAATTATAAATGGAAAAAGGAACAAATCGATACGAAAACAATAATGCGATTTTGTTGCGGTCTAAAAATTTCTGTGGTATTGTTCCTGTAGACCGATGATCGCGGAAAAAGTGATAATGGAAAGTTCTTCCTGATGCCGGATACAACTTTTTACGGAGATATTGCGTTCACGTAGTGTATCGAGATATGATTAATTCAATATAAAATTTACATTATTTTCTGGAGCGTTCGTTGAAAGCACATAATTTTAGATATAAATATTATTCGGGAGTACATTAACGAATCAATTTGTTATGTCACTTTGCAAGCAAGAAATCGCAATGAGGGCGGACTCGATGAGTAATATTTTAACACCCGATTGAACGCTGCGAGATAGACAGCGCGACGGAATATTTTAGCAGAATAATCGCGTGCAGCGATGCGAGAAAGTGTAAAACCGTGTGCCTCCCCACTGCGTCGGTACCAACAGAGATTGGAATGAAATTTAGGAATACTTGCGGTCGTGCGGATGAAAGTGGACTCGGCGGAAACAGACGGCCATGCCATGACGGAAGTAGCTGGACCATCGATATTTAAGTGTCAACCGTTGTAACATCAGTCATCAGTCCGATCGAAACTGTGTGCGATCGAGATGGTGCGAGGTACGATGTTATTTCTACCATTCATTGCAATATGTTCGTTCACATTGCACACGACGTGTCACGCCCGAGATCTAGCCAGTGCGGAATCGCGCATCAGCCGGCGTGATGTACAAGGAAAGAACGATGACCATCATGTAGATCATTTAGAGCCTACTGCGGTATCGTCATCGATTACAGAGACAGGCGAAATTGATCTTGAGACGGCAGCGACCAAACATAAGGATCATCATCACGAGTCTGGTGGTGGTCACAAACATGAATCTCATCATCACGAAGAACACGGCGGAAAAGGCGAGAAAGGATACAAGAGTCATCATCATCATGACAAAGGTGACAGTGGTAAGCATGATAAGGAACATCACTCCGGTCATCATGAGGAACATGGAGGCAAGAAGAAGGGTCACCATGACGAGTACGAAAAGTACGGCGAGCATCATGAGGACGAGAAAGGTCACAAAGGTGGAAAATTTGGTGAAAAGAAAGGCCACAAAAAGGGTCATAAGACCAAAGGTTATCACAATAAATTCCATAAAGATGAGTACCATAAAGAACATAAGTTTTACGATGATTATCATAAGGGTGGGCACCATGAGAAACATGGTGACTTCCATGGTCATCACGAGAAGAAGGAAGGTCATCACAAGAAGGGCGGCCATCATCATTCTGGTTATCACGAAGATCACCATGGTAAGAAGGGCCATCATGATAAAGGTCATCACGACGAGGAACACAAGGGTCACCATGGAAAGCACGGTCACGAGGAGCATCATTCCCATCACGATGAATACGGCAAGAAAGGCGATCACCATTCTGGAAAGAAGTACGGCTATAAGAAAGGACATTAGGGTTGTACGTTCAAGAATTACGTATCAAAAAGCGATTATGCGTTCTACAGTTACGGCTTATGTACCTGCTTCGGACACAGTCACGCGACGATGTCACGTGGTTCTGTATTTTGTACCATTCTTTATATAAAGTAAACGTGCGAATGCTAATACGCGCAAAGAAATTGTTTGGTTGCGGATCGTTGGCTTTTCTTTCTCCTTCAAGTCTTAATGGGACAAATAAGTTTCTCTCCCTAGCTCATATTTGTCCCAGCAGCTACATTACAGTCAAGACGGCAACGTGATATTACGCCTTATCGATTCCTCGCGATTTATTGCCATCGTTTTTCTCGGCGGCTCTTTACCAGTTCCCATTGGCAAACTAAAGTAATTTTGCCATTTCTTCTCGCCTTGTGCCTTCAGTTATTGACAGAGATAACAATTGTGCTAAAACGAGCATGTCATTTGTTCTCAAATTATCCGATCTCCCTCATTATAATAAGTTACTTTAAATAAAAAAATCAAGAAGACATGTTCATTACATATTACATATTACATGTCATTATTGCTAAATCAACTAAAAAATTGAATTGATTAAACTATATATTTATTTTGCAAATAATGTACTTAATATCAATAGTATTTTTTCTAAAATATAAAGCAGAAGTTTCATTGATTTAAACGAGCGTGAATTGATTTTTCATACAATGAAAACAAGTTTTTTTCAGTACCGCATCTCTATTGTCAGGCAAGAGTAATATACTAGCAATTTCGCAGTATGAATTTTAATGTCACATATAGCACAGATCATTAATGCACCAATAATTGAGGTTAATCGATTGGCCAGCTGATTGAATTGATTACCGGATATTAATGTGCCGCGGGAACGCGCGTTGCGAGTTGACACCGTTAAATTTGTAGGTAAATACCGCATATGCCTACATGTTACAGCGTTATCTCTCTTGTAATAGCGTGCAACGTAATACTCTGTTATCCATTGTAAAATATCAAACTGGAAATATAGTTTTATAACACGATCAATATTACATCATGTTTAAAAAATAGTCGGACTATACTATCCGAATTTTATATTATATAACGTTTGAGAATAACTTAGTTGTTTTTTTCACACCTTTAATTTCACACCTTTTAATTTTTTTTAAATTAAATTAAAACGTCTTTAAAGTTATTTATTTTATAAAAAAGATATTAATGTTATTTTTATATAAATAATTTTTTTAGATTTATTTAATTAATGTTATCAAATTAATTATCAATTCATTACGAGGTATATATTCTCGCTTTAGTCAGTTATATCGCAAATCCGTTAAAAATAATTGCATGTTATTGGTAGCAAAAGTAAATACTATTGAATTTATTATATGAATTCAAAAAGTGAAAGACACTAAAATTCAGCCTTAATCGAAAATGGCGATATTATTCGTTTCTTATGGTTAAATATATTTTTTATCTTTAAATATTTATATATTTATCTAAATGTAATTGAGGTTAATCGATATTTAGCTTTATATATTTATCTAGTTAAATGCATCCTCTCTCTCTTAATTTCTCTCTTATCTTTCTGTTTTTATACTGCCGTAATAGAATAATATAACCAATTGACATCGAAAATATGTCCGCTTAAATCATTACTGCTTTTCGCAATGCAAATAACTAATGTTCATTAATTCATTAATTAATCAATAAATTAAAAAAATTTTATTTAAATTTATCATTTTGTCTAACAATGGTTTATAAGCAACAAAAACTAAATTTTCACAATTATACGCAAATAATATTAAAAAAAAATATTCTTAATGAAATAAACAAAGAAATTGATTAAAATGAAATAAAGGCAAACAAAACTTTACAATTACAATTAACATATCATTACAATTTGTTTTTCTCCGTTTCTATTTATTATTCCACATAAATTATAAGATTATACGGTTATGCATATGCGGCTAATGGCGTGTAAAGCTTTTATTATGAACATATTTGATTACATTGGTTTTTACTATGATACAATGAATACGCCAACAAGATAAGCTTAATCCGAATATTTAATCTAGTAGCTCACGTCATCAAAGGATTTCTTGCCCGGCCTCACGATGCAATTTTCATTATACGACTGTAGCGGGCAGATTATTTATTATTCAAAGGGTTACTTCGACTTTGTGAAAATTTTATCAAAGATAGCCCAAGAGTTCAAGATAGAGCTTGTTTAACTAGTTTTCGGCAACATCTCGTTAAACAACTCTTGTCCTCTGTTTATCCATAAGAAATAGCTTATCTTTATTATGTTCCATTTAATATAAAATTAATTTAAAAAATGCAGTATAAGACTCTATCTAATTTTGTTTTTTTGTTCGCAACAAAAAAACTGTTTTTCTAATCTAGTAAAGATTGCAGGAATGCAATGCAAATGTTAAATGTTCTTGAGTCTTCTTTAATTTGGTCAAATGGCATATTCTAATGGATTATTCTGACTTCCTGAAAAGGCACAGAGTCGCAGAACACAACGATGCTGCGTACTTCTTCACGCTTACGCGCATTTCGTGCTTTACCTTTTTTTCCCCCTACACCGGAGCCACTTCAATTACATTAATTAAACCACCTACACGTGCACGCATTACAAACCGAAACAATGGCGGGTTCTTTCGACGGCCGCCGGAGTTGTCACACGGCGGAACATTTCAAGTAGGTTCGTTGCCGCGCGCATGCAATCTCCGGCGGAGAATGGACGACTTTGAACACCCGCTACATCGTATATGGTAGTAAAGAAGTGCATAAAGCCCCGTTAATCCGTGTCCGGGGTGCCGGAATTCAATTCGGACGGACGCCATGGAAATAACGATCTTATTTGCTACGGGGTGGGATCGTTAATCAAATCCGCGACGCAATGAATACGATAGTAGGCCCCATGCGTTTTCGTCCCGCCTATTTTTACAACGAACGACGCAAACACAACGACACAAAGTGATCATAGCCCATATCATTATCTTTTAAAACAGATTGAGAATGCGTACGTTAATGAACGATGAGTGTTAATTGGAAACTAGAAAATATCTTTTTATATATCGTATACAATTTTGCAATATTTTAATATGACAATTTAGTATGACAATTGCAATATTTCTCTTCAATTAATTTATATTTGTAAGACACTTAATATTCGAGATGGGTTATAATATACTCCTGAAAGAGTTCGCTGAACTAAATATTAATACGTAATACCGCGGGAATATGCTTTATTTACCGCTGCCTGATAATGTATTATAACCAAGGAAAGATTTAATGCTGTTTATTAATATCGGAATATGATAAATAGCTGGAGCGTAGGAATTTTTATTAAAAGCGAAGATTCCAAGTATGCTGATAATTTACGGTACTCGTAATTTGCTGATCAATAACGCATACATGTCGATTTAAGTGAAGAAAATGTACGTTTGTAATTAACGCAGAGAATGCTTTCACGTTATTGTAAAGTAATATTGTTGATTATAGAAAAAAAACTTTTAAATTTTATACAATAATCAAAAATTTTGTAATCGTTTGTATAAACGATAGAATTTTGTAACCATTTATATAGATAATATGCATAGCGAATGGCGTGCAATATAAAAAAATATGTTAAATATGTTACTTTATTTCAACAATATATGCATAACTAACAATTATTGTATAACATGAGAAAAAAGCATGAATAATAGGAGTAAAAACGAGTAACAGAATTCTATTTAAAAGCAGCTGGTGGTATCTCCTGAGTAGCAACAAATTTTAATGTCCCTTTTTGTAACCCCATTCCTTATGATCTTCGTGACCGCCCTTCTTGCCATGATGATGGTGATGATGATGGTGTTCATGATGATCGTGGTGACCCTTGTGTCCCTTATGATCATGATGATGGTGACCCTTCTCATGATGACCCTTCTTACCATGGTGATCTTCATGATGATGATGATCATGATGCCCTTTCTTAAAGTGGCCACCTTTTTTGTGTCCATGTTCATGATGATGGCCTCCATGTTCCTCATGATGACCATGATCGTGATGTTCATCAAAGAATTCTTTGTCCTTCTTGTATTCATCGTGCTTCTTCACTTCGTGATGACCATGGGTGCTATGGCCTTTGCCATAGTGTCCCTTCTCATGAAACTTATGACCTTTCTCTCCTTTTTCGCCATGATGATGTTCGTGATGATGACCATCATCATGATGATGATGCTTCTTGTGTCCTCCGTGCTCCTCGTGATGTCCATGATGATGCTCTTTGTGATGATGTCCTTTTTCACCCTTCCCGTGATGATCGTGATGTTTGTAGCCTTTATGACCATGATCACCATGTTCATGATGATGATGGGAATGATGATCTTCTCCACCACCATGTTCATGATGATGACTGGCGGCTATCTGAAGATCGTCATAATGATCTCTGGTAATTTCACGTGCGGTCGTCACGCAATTTGTAACAACATAAATTGCCACAAAAATTGTTATTAGTGGCAATGTACGATATAAGGAAAACATGATAACAACGACTGTATTCTAAAACTCAAAATATTCTAGTCTTGTATTCTAAAACTCTCCTATTAATCTAGTACTAATAGATCTAAGTGTTTTCTAGCAGTGCAAGCTGCATGATGTAGCGATTCATGAGAAGGTGTTATTTATATTGCGATTTTAGTGCAGTGAGCCATCAAATTCTCTAAGAAAAAGTATATATTTATATAAATAAAAGATGGCGGGGAGTTCCATTTCATTTCCTTCGTCGCGGTAGATTATATAGAGTCTATTTTGTAATCTACTACTTGTTTAAAGTTATATAAATGGAATTACGTGATACTGATTGAACTTCCTTTATTGATTTTCTATAGTTCATTGAACTTATGATAGAAAGTTACATTATGACAATATTGTTTTTTATTGTATAAATTTAAAATCAAATATAAAAGATTAAAATAAATATTCCTATTAAAACAGTAATAAAAAATTTTTCGATCTTATTAATTTTATACATTGTTTATTGACATTTCCTATAGTCGGAATATGAGGAATAGCGGGATATTATTGTATATTGCATATTACATATATCTGTAGAAATATTTTTAATGATTCTATAACTTTTAATTTCTAGTGCATAAAAAAATTTAATGTAACATTTTTAATATCCCTTTAATACTTTTAAAATATTCAACGCATTTAAATTTTATTAAAAAGTATAATATATATTTATATAATTGTCTCTTAAACATGAATTAAAAAATATTAAGCATTAATAAAATATCTTTCAAAATGTTAAATACGTTAATTTAACATTTTATCAATTTATATATTTACCTCATTAAAATTAAATAAATATTATTATTAAAAAAATATTCATATAATTATTTTAAAAAATTTGTGAATTCAGTAAATTTAAGTCTGACTTCCTAATATATTAGATAATATTTAATCTCTAAATTTAAAAATGTAGATAAAATTATATTAATTATAATATATGTGTGTAAATCTTACACACAACTAAAACAAATAATTCAAATAATTATAAAATTCATTTAATGCGTAATTTATTACGCTTGTATTATAGAGATTATAAAAAACATATATACTAATTCAATTACATACAACAAGTTTCTATAACAAATTTAAATATGTTCTGATATAAAAATGACATCTTTTTATATAATAAGAGAGATATTATAAAATAGATATTATAAAATTATTCTATCATGAAATTCTTAGAAAAAGTAATATCTTATAATATCGTGGGAGTTCTTAGGGGAAATAATATATTCAATCATATTTGGTATAGACATTTTAATTTCTCAATAACGAAATAAATCCATTATTATTGGGCATCCTAAAAATAATCAACGAAAGAACAAGGAACAAGTGGTGCAACAATTTATTCTGTTTGTGTCGCACTAAATTGGCAAATTTTATATCATTAATGATGATGATGATGACCATGATGACCGTGATGACCGTGATGACCATGATGTCCGTGATGACCATGATGTCCGTGATGACCGTGATGGCCATGATCATGACCATGATGTCCGTGATGACCATGATGGCCATGACCATGACCATGACCATGACCATGATGAAAACCATACTTCTTCCCGCCATGATGTTCGCTCTTTTTTCCATGATCTTCGTGATGATGATGGTGTTCTTCGTGACCATGTTTGCCATGATGACCATGGTGATCTTCATCATAATGCCCTTTATCATGATGACCTTTTTTTCCATGATGATCTTCATGGTGACCAGAGTGATGATGTCCACCCTTCTTATGATGACCTTCCTTACCATGATGATGCTCATGATGATCGCCATGCTTCTCATGATGGCCACCTTTATGATAATCATCATAGAATTTATGTTCCTTGTGATATTCGTCTTTATGGGATTTGTGATGATAGCCATGAGTCTTCTCGCCTTTCTTATGACCCTTTCCATGACCAAATTTAGATTCCTTATGGCCATGTTCGTGCTCATGATGACTACCGTGTTCGTCATGTTCATCATGATGGCCTTTCTTGTGACCGCCATGCTCGTGATGATGGCCCTCATGATGTTCCTTGCCATGATGGCCATGTTCTCCATGATGATGATGATGATGACCTTTATGACCCTTATGGCCCTCTTCACCGTGTTCTCCATGATGATGAGAATGGTGTTCATGGCCTCCGCCATGTTCGTGATGATGACCATGGTGATGGCCATGATGACCATGGTGATGACCATGATGATGAGAACCAGCCACTTCCAAATCTCCTTTTATACTTCGAACATCTCGTGCCGAAGATATGGCAATGACTGTCCATATCACAGCCAATCCCAGAAACAAGCATGGACCTACGTATTTAGCCATGTTGGAACTTTGTAGAACCAACAATTGCAATTGACTGGCCAATAATCTTTAAAGCAAAGCTTATATACCTGCGGTTCCACCAATGCTTTGTACGTAATCGCTTTCGTTCCTTCGCTCTTGTTCGATCACAATACAGAACTCGTATTTCGTAAAACATTTATTCGCATTGTGTATTATTGCTTGAAAATGCTATTAGTTATACAGAACTATCGTCAATCTCAGATTACTTAATAGACTTAATGTTAGGTAAAAAGTAAAAAAGCAAGAGAGAGAAAAAAGAGAATAAAATATTAAAATATGTACAATTACATTTTGTTATACAACTTATAATCTAAAAGATATCAAACTTGTTAAAATAATATTAAATAAATTGCAATATATGTGATACATATATTGATAAATACATGAAATATATGTATTTGTAAAAATATAATTTTTCTTTCATATGTAATAAAAATTTAATCATTTAAAATCATTTTTTAAATTAAAATTTTCAAATATAATAATAAAAGAAAAAAATTTTAATAATATGAAGAATATCTCATAAAATTAATTGATCACATTTTGCTAAAAATATAAATAATAACAATCTCTAAATTAAGAAATTAAATTAAAATTATTTAAATATAAATCATATATCTGTAACGTAGCTAAATATAGTTAAATGTAGCTGAAAAATCATTTAATTAAAGCAGAATCAAGAAATATATAAAAATTATTTTAATACAACCAATAGAATAAAATGCATAACAAAGCTGAATTATTTATATATTTGCCATTTATAATTGTTTATTTATTTCCAATAATTTAAACGTTCTTTTTATTAAACAGCTTGCAACGATAACGTCCAATCATAAGTATATTACATTCCTTTGTTTCAAATATATTAATTATATAAATTTCTGTTCATTAAATTGGAAATCAACATGCTATATCATTCGATAAAACGATAAAAACGCTTTTATTTAGGCTCTACAAATGTAGTTTAGTAAGCAGGACAACGATTTCAATGACATTACATAATGGATCCGAGCGATTGTTGCGGGCTTACTGAAATCCGCATTACAATTTAAACAGGTTAAGGAGACATTGCTTTCGCAACGACCTAATGAGCCAAGAAAGAGTTCTGGCTACCCTCATATCGATTATCTTGCGCTCGATATATAATCCGAGCGGGGCGACTGGTTTAATCATATCTACCGATCACAGCGACGAAGTCAAACATTTCTCGTTGGTATTGGATCAAACAAAGATAAACACGAGCACGATGAGCAGATTGGCGGCGATCTGCCTGTTGGCAGCGTGTATCGCCTCTACTTGTGTGACTACCGCACGTGAGATCAGTAGGGCACATTACGACGATCTGGAAGTAGCCGCTAGTCACCATCATCATGAGAGCGGCCATGGAGGAGAGCATCATTCCGGCCATCATCACCATCATGGCGGGAAAGGCGACAAGGGCTACAAGTCAGAGCATCATCATGAGAAAGGAGAAAAGGGACATCATGACAAAGAAGGTCATTCTGGACATTATCATGAAGACGAAGGTCATAAAAAACACCATCATCACGATGATGGTTATTATGGAGAACATCATAAAGGCGAGAAAGGAGAAAAAGGTCACGAATTCCATGAAAAGGGGCATTTTGGTAAAGGTCACAGCACAAAGGGACATCACGAGGTTCATAAACTTGATGAGTTTAAGAAGGATAAGGAATTTTACGATGAACATCACGATCATGGTCATCATGAGGAACATGGTGGTCATCATCATGAACATGGACACAAGAAAGGTGGCCATTTTAAGAAAGGACATCATGACCATCATCATCACGAAGATCATTATGGCAAGAAGGGTCATCATGAGAAAGGATCTCACCATCACGAACACAAGGGTCACAAAGGCCATGGCGGACATGAGGAACATCATCATCATCATCATCATCATGGCAAAAAAGGTGGTCATGAAGATCATAAGCATTGGGGATTTAAAAAGGGACATTAATATACGAAATATACGAAAAATTATAATTTCGCTATTATTGCTTGTTGAGTTACGTTTATTGACTACTAGTATACTGCATTGATTATTGTAGTGTCGACGGACAGAATAAAACTTTTTCAATGTATATATTAATATATATCTTGTTTATTTATTATTTCATCATAATTTTGACATCAATTTATTGCAAAAAATATAATCTGCGTTTATTAAATCATAATTTTTCTTGCGTTACTATTATTTTCTATAAATGCGCGATAGCTTGCATTAATCAAACTTTTATAACACTAAACGCATATTGGACGTAAAATGAAATTTGAGTTATTTCTGCAACCGTAACGTGTGTCATGAAATCGGTAACTGTCGTAATAATTCAGTGGAGTTTCATGTTTTGTGCTACATCAGTCACGCTTCTGCGGTGTAGCAGCTGTCACAAGAAAATATGGCCGCTCGTTACATACTATTTCCATAAAACAATAGTATTGGCCAGTTACCGCATTCAGTGGTGCAATTGACACGATTTTACATTTGTTTTGTCAAGAGTTATTTAGAAATTCGTATTTTTATAACGATTTAAATTAAAATAATTAAATCAATCTCGAAAATTCCTATTACATAACTCGTTTGCAAAAAATTTAAAATCAATATTATCATTACATAGCTTATATACATCATACATTATTAATTACATAACTATATTATTTCGCAATGTTAATATTTTAATTATGTTTTCGATAATTATTCTAATCCTAACGTAATAATATAATTCATGAGTAACATGCAAAACAAGTGGTGTTTTCAATATTACAGTAAAATATTCAATGTTACAATAAAAATCTATTTCATAAAAATAATCCAAAAAATTTATTTCCTTTTTATTGCATATTATAAATAACAATATAAAATAGCAATAAATAAAATTATCGATATGTATTCAGTAACATCTAATATGTTAATCAACTTTATCATGTTTTTTAGTTAAATGCGTATTTTCATCGGAACTATAATTTTCATAACTATTATGAAACGAATTTTCACCTCTTTCCTTATTATAGCCTTGATCACGATTCTGTGTATGTCCTTTGTCATAAAATCCTTTTTTCCCATTATTTTCATTATTAAAGCCAAATTCATGACGATCGCCTTTCTTGAAATTGCCCTCGGTAGTGTTATGATTCCTGTCACTAGCAAAGTACTTATCAAAATAACCTTTCTTATGATTTTCGTCATAAAAATCGGTATGTTTTTTATATTCGTCCTTGTGGTAAACTTTATGGAAGCCACTGGTCTTTTGTCCCTTTTTGTGATACGATGTTTGCCCATAGCTACTACCCTTTTCACCATTCTCATTTTCATCATGGCGTCCATAATTTCCAGCTACATCGCTATGCCCTTTTTTATGCTCGGTTTTGGTATCGTAATGTTCTGAAAGAACACAATAAAAAGTAACGGAATTTCGTTTAGAATAAATATATTTATATAAAAATATATATGCTTAAACGCGAATTAAAAAATTCAATAAATGTTGAAAAAAAATATAAATTTACCTAACTGCCTGTTTTTATCATGCTGTCCGCGTTCACCCACGTCAAATTCCACTCGTTTGTTGTACCCTTTGTCACCCTTTTCTCCATGAGCAGAATTCTGCGCGGCCGAATACTTTTCGCCGAGTTCGAACGAAACGTCGATATCTGAACGAGAGTTGTCGAGACCGTGAATAGGATGGCTTGCTATAAAATCAACTGCTTCTTCGCGATTTTCAGGCACATGAGCTTTCTTCTCTTTTTTATCGTCGTCCTCGTCCTTATCATTATCGTAATCGTCCTCGTACTCCTCATTGTCACTTCTTTTGTCAATATTTTTATCTGTTTCGTTCGGTTTAAACGTATTAGGCGCATGATATGGTGCACGTGCAGTTAGTTTAGACGGCTCAAGCGGTTGCGCGTATTTCGCTAATTGGCCCACGCCATAATTAATGAATCCATCGCGCGGGTAAGGCTGGCGCACTACGTACGGTGCAATTTCGTGCTTCGCAGTCGCATACGCGAGCAGAACGGGTTCGTGCGACGACGTAGTTTCAGAAACGGCAGGCGCAACAGGTGCAGGACTGCCGACGACGTAATGCACTGGCGCCGGTGCATGGTAGTAACGTCCGCTTCCGTGATTGGTGTACCGCATGTACGCGACCGGAAGACCCCCTTGCTGATTGTACGCGTATCCGCTTGCAGAGGTCTCGAGATCGGCTATTCTCATCTTAGAGACAGTCATGTGTGATGTCCCCGTCGACGACGCACTATTGCCGACGATGAACAGCATGGCCGTCACCAAATTCGCAATCATGGCAACCAAATCCCTTGTCCTTGTAAATACCGCCGGATAATAATCGTTATTACGTCCCGTGGCTGAATTGTCCGACACTGTTGTATCCGTTTGTTCGCGTTATCGCCTTATATATACATGCTAGAAGGACGGTATATATCCTTCCATCGTTCAAGTGACACACTGTTCAGCCATAGAGAGTTTCAGGGTCGCCTTGATGTGTTTAAATACGGAGCGCGTATTGTTTCTTTCGCCACGGCATTAGTCAATATTTCATTAGGATTACGTAAAAATTGAGCAAAGGGTTCCTTTGATTGTAATCGAATATCTACAAAAAATATCTGGGACAGTTTAATAAGATATAAAGATGCACAAAGAAATTTAAATTCCAAGATCAACAATTATTCGATTCCTTTTGTACAAATTATAAGGAATATCTAGGACGTATTTCGCAACATTTCTTCTCTCTGAAACTGTAGTGTTTAATCCCGCAAGTTTGCTTTGCATCACTGATTGACTGACACCGTAATCGCTGCTGATCTTGAATTGACTGTACGCTACGCTAAGTACACTAAGGCCATGTGAAATCGATGGTCTTTGGTTTGGCCGAGCGATTGTCGCGCGATATAAAAGAGCTGGTATTATTACACGATCATTACAGTACGTGTCGGCGCGTTGTCGCACCAGAAGTGTCTCTATCTTGTGCCTGATCGATTTGCTCGAAGATATATACACATATTTTTGAGCAAATTTGTAGATTGGATTGGATTACCCGGGCTTCCAAGCAACGAGGGTATCCACAAAACGAATGAAGATCTATGCAGGATGGTACGCCGCTTGCGCTATACTCTGCGTTTATGCGCATCCGGCAAGAGACCGAGCTAACGAGATGTACATTACCAGCTCGAGATCGTACGATCCGAAATCAACAGCTGACAGCTATGACTTTGAGGAACAGTTATCTGCGACTAAATTATTTGAGATCCTTGAAGACAGTCAGGAGTTCGAAGAGCAGAAATCATCGTCGACGATGAGAGCAATCGTTACGAGGGCTCATCCAGTCTTATTACCCTTGATCATAGAACCTGAGGCGGAAATGTTGCCGGCCGGTTATAAAGGCGTGAAGCCACCCGGAGTTACTCACATGGAGCTTGCGAAACCTCAAACTGACCCGTCTGGTCGCAAGAGTGCGACGTTACGAGCTTCGACAACGGACGACGATAGTTCTGGTAAATCTGGCGAATATGATCAAGATGACGATGCGCATTACGCTGCGTCGAAGCATGAGACACAGGTCGCAAGAGATGATCGCGGTACTAGCAATCTCTTTATCTTCGAGGTAGGTTCGAAGGGCGACAGGAGAAAGGAGAATGAGAAGGCTGAGTATACTGAAGTCTCTGGTGCGAGTAAAAGCCGTTCCGTAAACGAGGATCGCGCAAAGAATCATAAAGAAGAAGTCATGAAAAAGAAGGGAACTATTACCTACAAAACTGGAGATGATAGCAAGAAGACCCATAACACCGCCGGATACCATAACATTTATCACAAAGATGAACTCAAAAAGGATGCTGATTTCTATAATAATGGACGTCAAGGTGGACGTTTTGAAAATCATAGTCGATACGGTGAAAAATATGCCATTGCTGAAGGCACGTATGCAAAAGGCAAGAACAACGATTCCAGATTTGTCGAGAAGGAAGCCAACCAACAAAAGAAGAGAGAAGAATTCGAGAAGATGAGAGAACCGAGAAGCCCAAGGTCACGCTACGATGGATTCCTCTTAGGAACTTGAACGGATTCATAAAGACGAGCTTAACGAAGGGTTGAAAGTTAGCTTTCAGCAACGACGACCCAAGTATTAACATGTATGACGCTTGCGTGAGTCGCCATACAATTGTACAGTAACCGTTAATTAATTAATTGAAAGATAAATACAAAAATGTTATAACAAATGTACATTTATTCATATATTTGCGCGTACATTTATTATATTCCACTTTGTGTTTCGTGTATGCACGCACGTTGCGCGTTTAATAAAATATAGAATTATGTAAGCGTAAGTCCTCTTTTGCCTCTTTTGTTGTATTTATATTTATTTTATATTAAATCCATTAGAGATAAACATATTATCTCGTTTTTTAATATTATCTCAATTTTATAACTTTTTCCCTTATATAAAATCAAGTGATAACGGCTTTATTTCATCTATTACTTTGTTGACATTTTACTTTCACAAAAGTTTTTAATTAATTAAATTTTAATTAAATTTTAATTAATCACAATAGGAATTTTAGCAATAAATTTAATTTCTTGGTTTCTCCAATTTATCCAATTCACGAGGCACTGATTTCAGTTTTATTTACGCAACCGACCGATGATCGAACACGACCCGAGAGTAACCGCATTCGGCCGGTGAGCGGTTAATGGATATTAAACAATGCCCGCATTGTTGGGCCGATAAATTGCAATCTTTCGCGAGTGGTCCTGCCGCGAAATGAGAATCTAGGCACATAATTGATGCATATATAGGTCGTTGTATTATATCTCCACGTTCTCATTGGCGGGATCGCCAACGGAGTCCGCGAGGGCATTCCACTTCGGTAACGTATACCTATCGGTCTCAACCACCTCCGCTGTAGTCTGACTACGATATACGTATAAAGCCCGCATCCCCTTCATGGCTCAGTGAGCTCGGGTTCCCCGCATTCATCAACAATAAGCTGCGGCACCTACCGTCCTCGCATATGTATCTGTGAGCACCTTATGTACGTACGTGTGTATATTCACGCGTAAGCTACCACCCTCTCCTATATCCATCGATGCGTATACATACGCACACGACGGTTGTATTATATGTATCTATACCAGTATATATACGTCGTATATATAAAGGTGCATGTATATCGGAAGCGGTGGAACGCGGCGCGAATACATAAATCAGATGCCGCTCTGCAGGCTGCCACCCATATCACTTCGTACAACGGCCATGAATGAATAGAGCCGTGTTTGAGTTATCGTCCGACCTGGTCTTCCAGAAACTGCGGAACGCCGGCGTTAAGTTTTACCGCTTGGAATGCTTCTTAATGGAAGCGAAACGGTTCTACTTTCTACTTTAACTGCTGCTGCGAATTTCCGTAGAATTCGACGTGGAATTCAAACAAAGTAACAACGAACGTTAGCTAATTACATAAATTGTTTTATTTCACTGTTTCGCTCGTAGTTCAATCAACGTTCTTGCGAAACCTCGATGCGTACGTAACGAACGTCAGCTCTCGGATAATTTATGTCAAAGAACTAGATCTGACGGCTTGCCTCGACGGCGACGTTTTACTCCGAGAAGAAATGCAATTTATCTTCTGATAATCTCCAATCCTTCGGAAGCGGACGTTCGCCTCGTATCTTGCTTTCCTTCCTTTTTATTTGACCGTCGCACGTCCGATGCTCTCGTGTGATTCTTCGAGAACGCCTGATTTCGGGGATCCGATCGTCTTTCCGCGATAGTTTATTGTCATCCGTTTATCTTCGCTGAGAAAAACTTTAGCGATGAAACAATAGAGAAATCAATCAAAAATCGCATTCTAGAGGCGTTTGTCTCGCAATTGTGACTAACGTCAAATAGGCGAATAACATAAAAGGATGACAGAAAGGATATAAATAATATATTTACTGTTAGATACGTAGTTTCGAATTACCATTAATTATAATATGCCAAAAGGGACCAAATAAGAGGTTTTCATTTTTAATTCTAATTCTAATTAACCGTAATAATATCTTGTAATTCATATTATATATATATATATATATATAAACCTAAAAATAAGAAAACGAAAAAATTGCACGTAAAATATCAATCGACATTGCGAATGATAGCACGAAATGCGCACGAGGATATTCTGAAAATGTTCTGTTACATATTTCAATAAAGAATTAAATAATATACATATATTTTTAGGTTCAAAGAGGTCACCGTGGCAGAAATATGACATTGATTTTATCAAGATTGATTTGCTCAGTTACAAAAGGCATAAAATACGGATCATGTTTCAGCACATTTAGAAACCAAGAATATTATTTACACACGGCGATGCGAAGTTATTCCGTAAGTATCTCATCTGAAATATACGTTTCATAAAAATGTTGCAGGAATGTTAATAATATAATACAGATTTTAACAAATTTTTTGTCTAATTTAAAATGAATTAAGTTCTACAAGTATTATTTTTACATTTCCTCTGCGGAGTACTGGTTGAAAAGTAAATACTAGATTCTTAATTGAGATTTATACTTACATTTATCAGCGTGCAAAAGTTCATGTATGTACATTCTTACATCATTTACAGAATCAGCCGTGTTATAAGACACGATTGGCTTTACCAGTGGATCATGATAGAGTGATGACCTTCATGTGCGATGCGTTCTTCAAGGATGATCCAACTATGGTGAACATTGGTTTGGACAAGCAGGAGCCCGCGTCGTCGTTGCTGAAGCTTCTGTACGATGATCTTCAAGAGGGTATGACGATAATTGCCGAGGACCGGGATAATTGTATCGTAGGTGCCGCGGTGAACGCCGGTTCCTGTCCTTGGGATCCCGACAGATTCATCGAGTTCGCTAGGTGCTGCGAATGCGGGTCGATCCGCGACGTGATCGAGTTCGAGGCTTACGTGACCCGCAAGCCGAATCTCTGGAAGCACTACTACGTTCTCAAGATCTTCGAGTGCAGCTATCTCGCGGTCGGAGCGGATTTCCGGAACCAGGGTATTGCCAGAAAGCTCGTGCTAGATAGCTGGTATCTCGCGCGCGATTGCGGCTATCGATTGTTCCGTGTTGACTGCAACAATAGGTGAGTCCAGCTGGCTGACCGTGGAATTCTGGTTAGGCTGCAGGCGTGTAAAGGAATGCAAGTCGTTTCGGCGCGGTTTGTTCGCCTCGGCGGAATCTTGAGTAATCTTCACGACGGGCCGCGACGGGTCGAGAAAGATCGTCGAATTCTATTCCGTCGTACGTTCAACGAAACTGTTACCTTGTAATTTAAGCTGTAGTGAGGTCGAGACAGTTGACGTATGGCTTCGTGTCATATTAAAAGAATAACGATCGCATTAATTAGGATTATTAGGAGTATAGTGTGCGATGACTTGATGCACTTCTCAGCGTATGTGAGCGCGTTATTTAATACAAGACATCACCTATCGTCTCCGTGCGACTATATTATGCGAATCGGGTTACGACATGTAAAATTAAATTGATAAATTCAGATAAATATTAATCTGAAGTCTGATATTCTATCTAACATTAGCACATTTATTACAGATATATCGCACAGGTTGCGAAAGGTTTCGGATGGAAACGAGTATGTGTGATTCCTTTTCATCAATATGTAAAAGATGGTCAACTTGTTTTTAAACATATTAAGGAGCCACATACTGAAGTAGAGGTTTATATTGATCAAGTCACATTTTGCAAGGATTATTGTCCGCCTTATAAATCATGCAAACCGACATCAGCGCCAAAAATATCTGATACAAAATGTTAATATGGCCCTAACATTTACCTACACTTAAACTTGAGTTGCTTTATCAATAAAACATTAATAAATATCACATGCGTAGTTCATCTATATCATACTTTAGCGTTTATCTTTGTGCCCCAATGAAAATATGAGAATAATTTATAAAGAAATTTATACATCTTAAATGTAATGTACTAATCCATACTTTTAATTCATACGATTCCAAACAGCTAATGCAGCGATTTATATTTTATAAGTTAGTCGTGTATATTCTCTAGTAATGTTTTGCAATATATTAAAGCAAAGAGAGAATAAATTGTTAAATATGTACACCATGACGATAAAGCACAGTGATCAGGGTATCTAATGCCTTTCTTAGTCTGAAACAAAGTTTTTGTTCATTTTGATGACATACATCGATTTCACAAGTACTAATCCCGACAGTTGAGCTTATTGGAATAGTCTGTCAGAGCGGAGAACAGTGATTGATGAGTTCAACGGCAGCTTATCCCGCGAGGAAACTCCTTTGAGTACGATTGAATAATACATAGCGGCGCGCAAATGAAATTCCCGATATTTGACTTCTAAGCTCTACCTCTCGAACGAAAGCCCGGCGGCTAAACTTCTGCTGCCTGCGAAATTACGATTGCTCGGAGTTGCGAGTGTACTGAACTCAGTTTCCAAATTTAAGCGGAAAGAGACGGATTCTCTTTTGCGTCTGGAACGTCTATCGAGTCTTCCAGAAGAGGGTTTCATAGAATCGATAATTGTCTGCCAAACAAGGCTGGGCCGTTTCCAAGATCAACTACCGTCATAAAGCACTAATGATCCGTGGAAGCACTCTATCGTGTATATGTAAAGTAAAACTAAAGTGTACCTAAGAATGATAATCAAATTGTCGACCTGAAATAGTCTATCGATTCATTTCTAGAACAATTTGAAATGGACCTTGTTCGTTCATTATAATTATTACTAATGTACGATAAAAAGAACGCATATATGATAAATGTATTACATAATAAATTAGCCTTCTTTGAGCAATAATAAAATAATAATAATAGAAGAAATATAAACTTTTAGTATAACACATTTTTCATAAAATATATACATGTAATATAATGAATTTGATGTTATTATCTAATCTGTCTTTTATAATAAGACATATTTCATAATTATATCTTAAGCTGTAATTTATATTTCTTGTTCAAGTTTATTAATGTGAACGCAATATAATAAACTAAATTATTAGACTGAAAAAAGTAAATTTTGTTCGTTCATATGTTGCACATTTTAGTTCGTGTTAAACAAAACTGTTCGTAAGAATAACATCATCATAATTATAATTAATTTATAATTAATTTATATATTTATAATATATTATACCTAATATATTTATAATATATTATACCTAATATTTTATAATATATTTTCAAATAAGCTCACAAATATTGTGACTATAAACACAATATACAAAATGCATACTATAAAAAATACTGTTACAATACGCATGTTTACAAATGTTTATTCATGAAAATTACACGTATCTACATAAATGTTCAAAGTGCATAGGAAGATTATTGCAACATATGTTTCAATATGTCATCATATCATATGTTAACAATATGTTTCTATTTGAAATTACATTCTATAATTATCATTCACTGAACATAAATTATATATCAATTATATAATCTACCATGATTATACAGTGAATCTATCATATGTTTTTATATCTTTTTTATTAATAGAAATAGAAATGGCCATGAAATAAGCAATCGCTAAAAACTCGCAAGAAATCAATTATTCTTCAACCAATTATTCTTGTTTTTCCTTTATGCTAAATCTGTTTTTTAAACATAACGCGCATAATAATAAAATAAACATAATTCTGATTTCTACGTCTAGAATTTATATAATAATTTTAATATAAAAGCATTATAATACTTTTATATAGAAAGTTTGCTTCAAATTTCAATTCTTTTTCTTTTGTATGTGTGTGTTATATATAATAAATTTTGTTTTTACTGAAATTTACAATTTATATGATTTATATAATATGCATTAATATATAAGTCTTGCAAAATTAATCTCCCAACGTATATTGTATCGATATGCTACGCGATGATCCATATTCGCAGTAGCACGCGTTCTCTCGTCAGAGACTAAGAAATGGATAGAACATAACCAAGACGGATTAGGATTCGAGCAGAAACTGTTCGGACCTCTCAAAAACGATCTTGAGCTGATCTCGGAGCCGTAATGATTAATGGAGTTAGGGAGCTACGCGCAGTTCTGTAATACCGTGGCAACTATCGAGTTGAAATTACAGTTGAGAAACTGTGGGGCGAGTTAGGGGAACCGTCGTTGTCTCGATCGGGGAAGGATTCCGTCGTCTCTAGCTCCGCAGCCATCCGATCACGTACCAAGCTCGATTTGATTTTGATTCGTACACTAGAAACGCATTTAATACACGTGCTTGCGTACCGGGCGCGCGTGCATCGACTAAGGATGAACGCTTTCCGTTGGTCGATACGGCGATAAGCTCGTATTTGTATTGTCGTGCCATTATATGCGTGGGAAATAGAATAAAAAACAATTTAAAATGTATATTTTTAAGAATGTAAAGTGCACATTTCGATTATTAGGTTTATGATCTAATATTGGATCTTCCTAATTATTGTGTACAAAAGAAATATCCTTTTCTCTATATTTGATTAGAACCTTGCATTTTCATTGATTACAATACAGGATGAGAAACAATTTCGCGACATATGTGTACAATCGAAACCGCCATTCGCCAAGGCTCTCGAACACGGTGTGAACGAGCTTAATCTGCATAATTTCAATCCCCAGTGCAGCGCGCACACACACACACACACACACACACACACACACACACACATCTTATATCTAGAACTATGCGTTTGTGTATCGTAAAGACAGTCCGAGTGATTCTGCTAATATCAGCAATTGTTTGTCGAATTGAAATAGTTTGACATGATACTTCCAGTCTTGCTCTTTGTATGATTGTAATCATGCGTATCGATGTTAGTTAGTTAGTTAGACTGTATTAAGAATTTCGCTGTTGGAATATTTACACGTTTAAACGATTAAAATATAAAATATAAAGTTTATCTTAGACAATATTCAATTATGTTAATTGATTGTCTATTTCTAATTGAATTCATGGAAACATGTGCAATTTGCGACAATCATTATCAATATGCTGTATAATCTCTTAATATTATATTATTTTTTATAAACAATTTGATATATTCAAAAATTTTTAAGGTGCTATATATAAATTACTAGACGAGGAAACAAACATATAAAAATAATAATAATAATTATTATTATTGTTATTACTGATCATATATGTTTTAATAATAGAGACTTAATAGGATTCTCGAAATTAAAATAATGAAATAATGTATGAAAGAGACAACTGAGATCAAATGACGCAGTAATTATTGCACAATAATATAAGGAAACAAAAATGTATTTATTTCTTGATTGCATTCATTAAATATTAATAATAATAATCGAACATTTCAGCTTATTTTCTTTAACACCAACAAATTTTTTTTATGTTCTTGATAAGTAAAATAGATGAAACATCCTGCAATTTTCCATTTCTGTAATTAATCTGTATGTATATTTACTAGTTAAGCTAAGTGAAAAATTCTTCAGTTTAATCAAGAACAGATTATAATATAGATTTTGATCACAGGAAATTCAAAAATCTATTAAAGAATTATATTTATTGTCTTTTATTATAATTTATTTTTTTGATAAGATTTCATCAATTTAATAGCTTGTATCTACTTACTCATATTAATCCTTCATCTAGTCATGCCAATTAATATTGCTTATATTAATAAGCTAGATATGTGTGTCTCCTTGTAAGTAGTTTAGTTTCATATAATTGTATAATTTAGCAAGTATAATCACAATTAATGACATAGAAGTCACTTTATTATTCTCAATCAATAGATACAAAACAGAAAATTATAATAAAACCTTTGATTTCTTAAAAATGTCGTTACATTGCGAGATAAAGCAAATCAGTGATATTTCCCCATTTCTAAAATTTTATTTTATTTTAAAGAAAGATTTACTATCAACTTTACTTTCATAATTACTTTGATAAATAATACAGAAAAATATTATAAATTGATAAATAAATTGTGATTCGATGATTCACGAACAAATCAGTCTTCCCTTTTCCGCGTACGTTGGAATATATATGTTGGAATATACTACCGATACACCATGTTCGCCATGTTTCCAGGTGCAACAGACAATATTAATCGGTAAAAGAATTGGATTTCGCTGTCTCACAGTTCGCTACCCTTCTCTTATTTCGTTTGCTCTTTTTCGTTGTGATATATTGAGGTCTAGATGTGAAAAATGCAAGCAACCTGGATTTAAAGACGGAACTTACTGAATTGAATAAATTGAAGAATTGAAATTCATTAAAATTGATGAAGTTTAATTTCGTGATTAAATGTGTAGTTAAATTATACAATCAATATAAGCGAATATTTATCATCAATAAGTAAATTATATCGAAAAGGGTATTATAAAAAGATCTATTTTTATGCTTGAGAAAAGTAAAACAGATCATTTATTATAATTTATTATAATTTATTATAATTTTTGAGGCAAAGAATCCGATGATTAAATTACGTTATATAATGAAACCATTAAAAAATTGCATTTAAATCAAAAAAACGTACACGTAGAGTTATAATCATTCATAAAATGTAATAGTCACGCTATGTGTATTAATAATTCATACTATCCGTGATAATTCATATTTAAAATGCATATAGTACTTAAAAATTATTATCAATTATTAATTACAATCAATTATTAGTATTTACGATTATTATTTACATCAAATGATATTATTTCAATGTGAACTTCAAAATCGATAAACAAGATATCTTAAAGATGTTTAAAAAATATCTCAAAATATATTTTCAAAAGATGTCTAAAAAATATTTAAAAAATATTTTATGAAGATGTTTCATTATTATATATATTTCGATTTCGATTTTAGATTTTCGTCTGGGATACATTTATCACTTAATTTATGACTTAATTATTTAAAAATTATCAGAAAAAAAGAATTTAAATTATAAAAGATTCTTAACAGAGCAAAATTATCCTCATATGATGTTTTTATGTTATAATATATATATATATATAAAACAATAAAAATATTTGTAAGAATAAAGTTTATACTACATTCAGAATATTAGAAAAATATGTGATATTTGATATTTTGATAGAAATTCTGTTACATTCTTATAATAATAAAATTTGAAATATATTACATTACTTTAATATATAAAAAATGAGAGAGAGAGAGAGAGAGAGAGAGAGAGAGAGAGAGAGAGAGAGAGAGAGTAGAGAGAGAGTAGTAAGTAAGT